TACACTTCGTCAAAAAATCCGGAAAAAATCCAGAAAAAATCCATGAAATCCTCAAAATCCGTTGAATCCATCAAAATCCGAAAAATCCTTTAAAAACCACAGAAATCCTTCAAAAATCCACAGAAATCCTTCAAAATCCTCAAAAAATCCGCAAATCCACAAAAAATATATGAAGTACTTGGTGTAATTTACTCGTAAAGGTTCTTTGCCACGTTCAAAATGGCGGACAGCGAAAGCTAAACGCTTACCGTGATCTCTGTCATTATATTTCGTAATTATTGGACCACTCTACATTTCCATTTATACGCTCGAGTATATGCTAAGTTTTTTTAGCCTACTACTACTAAATATGTGTTCTTGTTACAATGACGTTATGTTGTAAAATATAATTACAGGTCATTACAAAACCAAAAGTTATTCACCATTGTCTTTTACTGTTTTTGAAAGAATAATGAACTTGTTTGAATTTTAGCATACTGAAGGCTGTGGTCCTAGTCCCAGTCCTCTGCTCGACCCTGACGTCCTGGCATAACGTTGACGTCGTACACTCGTACAACTTAAGATTATTTGTTCAAAACGTTACCTAGCTCTATAAATCTATAATTAAAAAAAATCCAGAAAAATTCCGAACAAATCCGGAAAATCCAACAGATTTTCAAAAATCCAGAAAAAATCCGAACAAATCCGGAAAATCCAGCAAATTTTCTCTTCAAAAATCCGCTAAAAAATCCGGGAAAATCCGCTAAATCCGCTAAAAAATCCGCGGATTTTTAAAAATCCGAAAATCCCGTACGCTTTTTTCGAGTGAAATGCCCCTCGGATGTAGAAATCTAGATTATTTCACATTGGCAACAGTGACTTGGTGACAAGAACAACGGCAAATGGAAACGAGGGTTTAATTGTAACAGGCTGTAGACATTCAGTATTCAAAAACCAGGACTAGTCAGTTTTAAGAAATATAAAATGAAACAATTAAAGACAAAGTTCTAAAAACAACATTTTGAGAAATCCAGTATACAATCGTTTCTATACTATAGAGTACGGACGGCTTTCTTCTAATCCTTGTCTTGTTTCATCTTATCAATATTATTATTAAGATCACTCCAAGAAAGGAGTATATAAGGTCACTCCAAAAAAAGATCCACACACCTGAAGAAATTCCGGCCACCCAGAAGGGGAGAAATTGTACTTCTGATTATAGTGAAGAGTAAAAAAGCCGGTTTTCCACTTCAAGCGTACCGTACCGAAACGTATCCTGGCTTTAATGGAATGATTTAGGAACACAATATAAGCACATTAAAGTTTATTAAATAAGATATTAAAAGTACAAAATATTTTGCAAACGTTTCACAGTATTATAGAATATAGTAAAATTAATAAAGGGTACTACTGCAGTATTTAATCCAACTTTGTACATGTTTTACTTTACAGAGTACAGTCTACACATAGTAATAGTAACTGAACAGAAGTATAGTTTGGACTTCAGAGAAGTATACTTTGGATTTGTTATATTCTGTCGAGGGCTTCCATTATTACTATGCTGTTTCCACGGATAACCTGAAAACATAAGAAAGTGTGTTTAGATAATAACTACAGTGAAACATGCAATTTGATTGGTAAATTGCCTGTGCAGGATCAGGCAATCCCGCATGGAAAGTAAACACTTAACTTATGATTGGGTCATTCCAGAAAATATCCACCATCCCCTATATAGGAAATTTGTGACATTTGGAAGGGGAGGAAATATACTTCCCATAATAAGAAAATAGCAAGGATACCCGAATGGGGCAAAGAGGTTAAATTCCAATTTGCTCTGCAGGGGATGTGAATGTTTTCTGGAATGACCTATGGATTAAGTCACATACCACCATGCCGATATTGTGTTTTTCGCTAGTTGACACATTTTCGATTGCTTCGTCAAGAACAATATTCATGAAAGGATCGAAACCACGAAGGACTCCAGTTACATGTCGGCCACCATTTAACTTAACTAGTAATTAAAACAATAAATTAGCTGCCTTATCTTTGCTTTCTGCCTACCTTTCTAAACCAAATCACATATTCTAAATATACTGTTCTTATCATGTATACTTACTTGATAATTTCTTGTCCATGTACCTGAAATAATAGTTGAGATTAGTTTCTTGACAAAATAGAGCAAACTGAAAAACCTTGATAAATTTTATGTAAACCCAAGCCAGTTGCCAGTTTATATTTGTAGGTCAGCAAGTGATCACGCACCAATATATTTTGATGTTCGTAAAAAATTTGGATTGTCCCACAACTTGTTACCCTCTGGTAAGGTGGGAGAAATTAACAATCGTCAAGTACACTCGGGAGTTTAAGAGTGGTGTGGTGTTTGCGCGTCCCAGGTGATTTGATTTGCCCGAACTTCAACAGCAAAATTTCTTATCTTACAAATAATGTTTCTTTGAAATAAACGCATCAATATCAAGATACGATAATGAAAATATACATACTTTTTTAGCTCAGGTGGATGGGCTTTACTCATTGTGATAAAATTCGGATTATATTCCTAAAATTTCAACTTTGCAAATTGTCAAAAATTCAACATGCGCTGGATCGACATTCGAACGTCGCGGCGTTCGTGCGCCAGCGCTAACGAGTTCAGCTGTTTGTTTTTATAGGTGAATACGTCATGTAATATCTTAAGCAATAAGCATGCTGCATGCTTGTAAATTACAGTAAAGGCTGAAAATATCTAGATCTTACTGTAAATATGGCTTATTGTACTCGCCAAAGAAGAAATCGAAGCATTTTTAAGGCCATTATAAACCGTCAAATTTATGGTGCCAATGTGCTGCAAGATATTCGTACGATCAGGACAATGATCGAATCTGGTAGAACGTTCAAAAAAGTGTATGAAATGTGTTCAAAATCGCCAATAGTTTATGAAGGAGACAGGCTGTATATTAATTCGTTCGCGACTTGTTACGATTTAACTTACGTGAAAAGAACGCCACGGATCGTGTACAGTTTACAGCGGCGACCTCTGATCGTAACAACCAAACGTAAGATTGAAGAGTTGCTTGTTTTCGAGTGTCCATTGGATCAAACAACGTTTTCTAAAGTTCAAGGGACCTTTTACGCAAACGGTCCGTATTCTGTTGGCGTAACTGCAGATAATTATTTGAAAGTTTTTGACTTCAAAACTGGTGAGAGTTTCGAGCAAGTTTATTTGTTCCCAGGACGTAAGTTTAAGTATTTATACTGGGAAACAGATCTTGAGAGGCTTGTGGTGCAATCTACTCTATTACCACAAAATTCAACTGCGCATGTCATGCAACGTGTTCCAGCACAAACTAACCAAGTTTTGTTATATATTGCAATTTTTACTGCCACCCCTTTAGAGTTCATCTGCATGCTACCGATATCGCACAAAATTTTTGGTACAGACGTGTGCAATGCCAATGTACGAAACGGTTTGCTAATAGTTATGTATCGAAGGCGAAAGCTACAATTTTTCAATCTTGAAGATATTATAAAGAATCGCACAATTCCGTTAAAACTTGGAGAAAGTTTACAACCGAGGAATAACCTATGTTTGCCAGAACTAGATGAGTTTACTAGTGGTGTTGTTGGAATAGCACCCCTAGGCCTACCTGTCAATGTTACTTTGTTGGAAAAACCTTCTGTATTGTTTGAAGTGGTGAGCAGTCATCATGACCTGAGTCTTGGTGGATATCCGTGGCATTATATTGCAAATAACGATCAAGTATTTCATGTAAGGTCAGTCAAGGATCACGTTTTGGCAGAAAATGGTACCCTCAACAACGATGATAACTTGTCTCTTGGTACAGAGAAAGCAATTTTTCACTCAGATTTAAGTGGACGGATACTATATATTGCACTGTCTTATCTACGGTAAGTATACAATTGAGTTGTTCCAGAAACAATCCATACTCCCCCCACACAGGAAATTTCTGCTGTCTTGAGGGGGAGTGGAGAAAATCTGTATCTGATAATAGTTAGTGTACGTATTGGGACATCCGAAGGGGGTAGGGGAGTAACTTCCAATTTCCTCCATGGGAAAGGTATGGATGTTTTCTGGAATTACCCAGTATGATATGGATATTGCATACCCACAAGGATTATAAAACTGTTTATTAACCCCATAGATAGTTGTAAACAATGGTATTTGTAATAAGTTCTTTGAATGTTTGCATGGCGATAAAATATAATTGTTTTTGGAAACACCATGTAAATTTATTACTGCAAAGCTTTCGATCCGTAAGCCCGGATCTTCATCAGTGCTAATAATATGTACAAATTTACGTGGTGTTTCCACAAACAAAAACAATTAATGGTATTTGAATTCAGTCACTTTGAAATAATAGCTAAACAACTGACAAAACTATAAATTTATTATCTGCCCTAAATTTCTTTGCTTTACAAAACAATATATAATATTGCTCTTTTTTTCTTCATGTTTATAGTTGCCTAAAGTTTGGTCCTGGTAGCTCAGAATCAGGAATTAAAACACACAAGTTACACGAGCAATTTATCTTGGACTATCGTCTCCCGACAAAGGTGTCAAGCACTGTTCATACAAAATCTGGTCGGAAGGTGAAACAACTGTTCAACAGTAACCGTATGTACCTGGAAATTATCCAGGATATTGATTATGATGATGAGCTTGATCTGCTTGTTGTACTCTACCTCAATCAAACCAGAAGAGGAGAGGGTATTGTTGGTTTCTATGACAACCAAACTGGGCAACAAGTGCATAGTTTAAGCATTGATGATATCAATGAAGAACATGAACATTCAATTGCAATCAACAGAAATATATTGGTTATTATTTCAAAGCATGTATATGATTTTAGATGTTTAGTTTATCATCTGGATCATGCAAAGACAATCTGAATGTTCAATATGTTCAGCGAGTTAAAGTCTTCTAATAACTACTCACAATATTTCATAGTTGCGTACACGCAAATACACCTGTAAAAACTTGAATAAGTCCACAAAACATTCCGTTGTTACAGTAGAAATGAAGATTTCTAGGTAACTTCTATATTTGTGAATAATTTCATTGCTATTAAATTTAGGGGTAAACAACTATTCATATTAAGTAAATTGTAAACTAAACCAACAAATTTCTTCTATACATGTAATAGTAATATACAAGACCAAACAATGTTCCTGCTACATGTCCTGCATATCCTATTATATTTCCAGTTTGTGTGATCAGCTGGTCAAAAAACCCATTTTCTGTCAAGAAAGAGCTAACAAGAGCCACAGCATCATTAGAAAACAATCGAAGTGTAAAAACAATGTTCATCACATCAGAAAAAAAGTAGACGTCAAGTTCAAAATTCTGGTTGGTGTGACATTCCTGTAATCGTCTAACTATTCTTTCTGCTGAACAACATGCTCCGAAAGACAAAATGGCATTAACGCCTGCACTTGAGCCATAACATGAAATCCCATAGTTTAAAGTATCAGGGTTTATAATCAGTTTCTTCGGACATGTGTCCTCGGACCATATCTTTATAATTATATTGTTTGCTGAACTTGGTAACAGCTGCAGGTCTTGTGCAACAGTCTTCGTAAAAATACTTCGCTGCAGTAGATAATACACCCACATTCCTAGGTTGCCGAAGAACCCTCCACCAGTAAAAATGGCAAGAAAATGTCGTCGTCCAACCTTTTTATGCACAGGCTGTCCGGCTGCTGTTAGAACTACCATATTCTGCAGCAGATGTTGGAGATCTGTAAAACATCATAAATTCATAAGGTTATTCTGCAAGTGGGGTGCAGAGTTAAAAATGCTTAAGAAGGGTCCCCAAGCTCAATTTTTGATACCCTTGGGGGGGGGGGGGGCTGAGGGCATTAGTTTTCACCTCGGCCCTCCCACTTGGCTGCACTACCAGTTAATGCAATAATTGGGCCATTCTTATTAATATAGCCCCCTACCTGTATGATAATATACACTTGTGAACAATGTATAACATCGTCCAGACAGTATATTTCCTGGCGAAAATGCAACATGATCTTTCATGAATGGCCTGGACATATTAAATGGAAATCCCAATGCTTGCAAATTGAACAAAATTGATTCCTTGGGTGCAATAGATATCAATGTAGGCATTTGCAATGCACTTATACCAAACATTGTTACTGTATAGTCTTTCGTATCTTCCATAATAATTCAAATGGATTTAAAAATAAAAAACATAGATTTTCACTTTCTTCAAGTATAGTATATACTCTGTGCAAGTGAACGAACGTTCGTTGTAATAACCCTCACCCCCCTGGACGTTAGTCTCGTGTTCGAATCTTTTAATACGGATAAGCCGATTTCATAAATGCGCATTTTTTAATTCCAAAGATTAAAACAAGTTAAAAATACTGGTAAAATTATGGAGTTTAATAAAAAACAACCAAATGCTCCCAAAAAATTGCAAGAACTTTAAAACGTTCGAGAAAATATGAAAATGGCTTACTGTAAACAAAATTAGGGGGGGAGGGGTCTAAACGTACAGTTACAACTTCCTCTCTCATTAATCTGGTTTCTAACCGGATGAGAATTCCTAGCTTTTAGCACTATAAATTACTTTCTACTGGCACACATTTATTAAATACAAACAGTACATATTTAATAAATGATTTCATCATTTTCTTTGCATTTAAAAAACTTCGGACTATGACCAAGTGTTAATGTACTTTATTAAAATCGGGCAACAAGGAAATATTTTTAAATGGACAATACGCCACTGCTGCTGCCATCAACAAATGGGAATATGTATCGTGTGTACAAGAAACGTTGGTTTATGTTGGCTGTACTAACATTGTTGAATTTTTCAAATGGAATGGTATGTTTGCATGAAAGAAATCTGTAAAAATAGCTTTATTTCCGCGTTTTATATTTACCAATTTTCTATTAATTTAATTGACCAAACATATTTTTTCTCATAAATATCAGTCTGTCAGCCAGAATATTTAGTGTTTATATGTGCCTGGTTTTCACCTCGTGATTACATGATAAAAATGACAGCCCTCTTGCTAGGGTTGCTTTGAGAACTCATTTGTCCAAAATCATATTTTGCCAAGCAAAGTTTGACCACCTCATTTAGCAGACCTACCAAGTCACTCCCGCATTTTGGAGTCATTAAAGCCTAGTTCTCATTCATCGCAAACCGTCGGCGATGGGAGCTTTGCGATGTCTGCGACCGCTTGCAATTTATGAGAACACATAAAAAATTATATCGCCGATTGTTCGTGATCATCGCTGACCGTAGGCGATGACATTGCAGGAAACAAAAAAGTTTGTTTCTTGCGACCATCGCCGATCATCGCCGACTGCCACCTGCTTGACAAATCTATGAGAAATGAGTAAAAGTTTTTTCCTCAACAAGCAAGGAAATAATCAACTGAAGTTTGACAGAAATCATGAACTTTACGTTGAACTGGGCCATTTTGTGCCTTGGTTGGAAATTTCGAAACACATCGGCTGTCATCTGCGACGATCACCGATGTATGAGAACTTTCGTGCATTTGCAATCGGCGACCATCGGCGATAAGCGTCGCCGATCATCGGTCACAGTTTGCGATGAATGACAGTTTGCGATGAATGAGAACTAGGCTTAATTATCTCCCTGCCACATGAATTTGGGGAAATCTCCCCCATTCATTGTGATTTACCTGCAACAGTAGTGTTGGGAGCTAGTGCTACCAGAATAACTGACAAGTTACCTAGACACATGTTGATTGATATCTGTTGCACAGCTGAGCAAAAGTGTTCTGAATGCAGTCTTATTCGATGCACTCACAGCAATCTCTTAAATCCCCACTAGAAATTTTGTTGAGCTCGTGTTTATTATCAGCTCACATCACATGCAGAAAAATCACAAATATTGTAATCTCCCTCATTTTATGCACCACACCTTGGCAGGCTTGTATTAGGCAATCGTTGTGTGTGATGTCAATAAACTTGGCATCTGGTGTCGTAATCTCTTTAAAAACCCTAACATTCACCTTACCCTTAACCCCTGCAATGAATGCCTGAGAATTACTCAAACTGATCTAGCTAGTACAAGGAAATTTGTTTTTTTGGAGATGTCATGTATATTGTAATATGTTGTGAGTGTATGTTTTTACAACACATGCAAAATATGACATCTGAAACACCATGGAACCTAATGTAATTTGCTCAAAACTCATGTGAATTGCATGCATTTAACACAATATATAAAATTCAATTAGCATTTGAAACATGTCTTGATCAGGTGTCTATATAGCACGTCAGTCCCAGTCCCTTTGCCATGAAGTGTGTTCATTGAAACTTGTTTAGTGCTAGAGTGCATGCTAGAGTCTGTTCGAAAAAACCACAAAATTATCTGGGGGGAAATTATAGTAAAACTGTTTGCAAACTTCAGAGCTATTGGACGTCAATTTCTGACTTCTTGGCCTAATGACTGAAGTAATTCTTGCTCCAGATATATAAAGCTCTTTCATATTGCCGCTGCTCTTTCTGCCATTTTTACCCAATGTGCAGGAGACTACAGTGAATCAGGCAGTGTGTTAGCCAGCCCATTGGATGGTCAGCTAGTTGGTTGGTTGGTTGGTTGGTTGGTTGGTTGGTTAGACAATTATAAATTATGTTGATCTGCTAGCTAGTCAGTTGTTTAGTGCCCTGGTTGGTCTGACTCAGTGTGCATATACTATAGAACTACACCACAATCTGAAATGTTATTTCAAATACTAGCTGTGGATAACATTTGCTCCAATTGATGACTCATCATCTACATATTATGGTGTCTCATCATTTACTATCAACTGGTTGTCATTGGTTTTTCCACTGGCCGCTTTACCATTTGCCATGGTATCGGCATGGTTTATTGATACATATGGTCTGAGGAAAGGGGTAGGTATATTTTGTAGGTTTGAATAGTTTATGTACGAGGTATTTCATCATACTTACAAGGGTTGAAACACTAGCAATGGCACGTACTACACAATAGATAGGGTCAGGGGCAACCACCCCTCCCAAACATTTATTTGAATGATAGCTGATTAATTTGACCCATTGAGTGGCAGCACAGTCTCTCCTTGACAAGTAAAATCATCTGGTGTTAGACAGAGTAAAATAATAAAGTGGGTTGCTAGGTTACCAGTAACTGTATAACAAAGTGGTAACTTACAGTACAATGATTTTACAAAGTTGGAAGTGTTGTAAATGTAAGCCGAAATAAGTCAGCTATATGATTGACTTGCAGCAACAAAATAGCAAATGTAGTACATTCATAAGTCTCATAACCTAAATTTTATGTGGTTTAATTCCACTATTTTACTATTAAGTGTCTGCCACCATATTTATTTGGCAATAACCATCCGTATAATATACCTATAGTATTATATTTTGTTTCTCCAGATTATTCTAGCAGCTTGGCTAAATGGTTTGGGTAGCGTTATTCGAGTGTGTAGTACTATCCATCATATGACAAATACTGAGAGATTTGCTGTTGTACTAGTTGGACAAAGTTTGGCAGCTATTGCTCAGACTTTACTTCTTCCCTTGCCACCCAAGTTAGCTGCATTATGGTTTGGTGAATCACAGAGAGTTCTGGCAAACATGATTTGTTCTACATGTAAGCCAACTTTATAATACAGGTCTCCCAGTGATAATGTTCAGTGTTCCCAGTGATAACAGTGTTCTAATGAATGCTGAGGGACTACACTGATTAAGGTTTATAATTAATAATGTATATTGCCAGGATACTGGCTCTATTTGTTCTAAACTGTCATATCTCCTTAGAGGTCCAATTAGGGTCATCCCTTACCGGTCCAGTGTTAGTATTACCGGACAGTAGGCAATTCTAGCTTTTAATTTATGTATGCAGGGAGTGATTGAAAGGAAGGTATCATATTGCTGATTATGCTGAAAAATTTCAATAAAAACTGCTGAAACAACCAAAATATTTCAATATTTACAGCTATCACTCTGTGTTTACATGGCCACAATTTTTATTTTTTCAGCATAATAAGCAATATGATACCTTACTTCACGCCCCCTGCACACATAAACTAAAAGCTGGAATTGCCTATTTGAGGTACTGTACTAATCTCAAGCAGTCTGTGCCAGCTAGTACGTGTAGGTAGCGATGATAACAAGACAGCAGATTTTGAGATATACTAACAGCTACCTGAAAAATACAAACAGAACATCAGTGTTTTGAGCAAAGGCCCTTCACTTGAAACATCAGGCCTTTGCTTGAAGGGGGTGGGGCTGCAGCCTGTTCCTCATACACCTATGGTTGTTGGGATTAGTTTGAAGATCAATGCTAACATTCTCATCTCTCCATCATCCATTTTATATAGCCAATACTGTTGGAATACTGGTAGCTAATATTTTGGCACCATGTATTGTCAAAAGTTACAAAGATATCCCCATTTTGGTGAGATTTTGATGAAAATAATTCATAAAATAATGTAATATACCAAATCCGACTACAACAGCTTTATTAATTTGTGTTGCAGTTATCAATATTTACAGGTCCTGGAGCTCTTGCCATGGTTCTCGCTACAGCTGGAGTAACTACAAGTAGACCACCCACACCACCTGCACCCTCAGCTGCGCAAGATTCTGAGACGTTTTTCAAAGGACTGAAACAGGTATTTACATCTTATTTCAAACCAAAAACTAGTTCGATATGTCAGTATGAAAATGATTTCCATGATGTCAGTATGGAAATGATTTATTAATAAACAGCCGACTCAGAGTTATTGTTCTTGATCGTTTTAGGCATTAAAGAGTAAACCGTTTCTGGTGCTTATGGTGTGTTTTGGCACAGGAATTGGAATGTTCAGTGCACTAACTACATTGTTGGAACAAATCATATGTGTTCATAATTATAGTGATGTGAGTATAGACGACATTAGCAAACCATTAACCATCACGTAAAAAACCCGCTGGTTCACACGGTTTTCACTAGTTTCCATCTACCAAACTGACATTGCGTAATTTGATCAATTTCTAAATTTGTTTCTTTCTGGATTTTTTCATTAATTTGGTTGGGGTTAGAGTTAGGGTTGCGGTTAGGGTTAGGGGTTAGAGGTTAGAGTAGGGGTAGGGTTTGGGTTAGTTACATAGCCATTTAACACCCCTTCCATCTTCTGAAAATGACGTCACGTCAATTTCACAGATGGAAACTAGTGCTAACCGGTTCACACTGTCAAAGAATGATTTGATTGAAGATCATTGAACAGAAATTGAGAGCTTAGGTCACGTGAAAAAAAGTTGGTTAGCATCCTTAGCTTTTGCGGGCGGACGGGTTTTTTGCCTTGGTTTAATGTTCGAAACTGGATTTTCTTGTGCGGTACAAATATTCATACCGTCATTTTCGCATGCTTTATATTCTAGCACAAGTTTTTATTTAAAGATTTACTATATTGGAAGTTAATATCGTGCACATTTAAATTTATTAACACAACTGACTACAGAAATACTACTACATATACAGAGCCCATTGATCAATAAAAGTTGTTTTCTTAAAATAAAAAATAATCCTGAGGGGGGCCTTTTTTGTGGGCGGGCGAGGACGCTAACCAACTATTTCTTTATGTGGCCTTAGGAAGCATTTGGAATTTTCCAATGGATCAATAACTTCGAAAATACGGCCCCGCAAATATAATCATCATCATGTTATTTTTCTGATACCTTCTGAAAACACTTCTCAGATAGTGATCTCTACGAAAGTACCCTGTTGTCTCGCTCATAGTCTTGAACTGCCTGTGCCAGTCTACTGTAGGTAGAGTGCTAATAATAACAAAACTTCGGATCGTGATAGGATGCAACGACTGGAAAAATACAAGAAGAACATCAAACTTCTCCTTGTATTTTCAAGTACGAGTTGCTTCCCTATCAATCCGAAGCTCTCTCTCATAATGGCATTTATCACAGCTGGAATATTAGGTCAGTGACTTCATGATTGAACGAGCTTTCGTTGATAGGGATGAAACTACCTGAAAAATTTAAGGGAGAATTTCGACATTTTGAGCGAAGGGCCTTCGTCTGGAGTTAGTTTTAAGAACATTTAAAAACAATTAACATGACTGAATTTTTGTGAAATTTTTTGAAAATTTTCAGCATATTCATTGTTTTGATTTTAGAAAGCGGCAGGAAACATGTCCGCACTTGCCATTGCTTTTGGATTTATTGGTGCTGGTTTAGTCAGTGTCTATGTTGATAAAACGAAGAAATTTGAAATTGCGGCGAAAATATGTTATGCTATGGCTACATTGTTTGTTCTATTCTTCGCGTTGGTAAGTTAGTAAAGTTGTACATTGACCTGACTTATAGCAGAGATGGACAATTCGTCTTCACAGAAGTGGGAAAAAGTTGTAAAAACTTCCGTGACTAGCTCGTCTCATGGCGCCTATATAGTTCAGGTATAAATTATAACTTGCTCTCAGAAAAAAATGGAAAATATATTTGCTTCTACCATTTTTAAATGATTATCATGTGTAGTATACTATATCAAACACTGACTGATCCCCTTGCTGAAACCTATCTATTTGTTCTTGCGTGCATGCTTTTAGGAACATTTGCGAGTAATGTAGAAAGAGGCCTGCGGCGAATTCAGACAGGTTTATATATTATAATCCAAAGCAAAATTTAGTCCAGAACTGGTTGATATAGGCTATTGCTTGTGTTTGCAGATATCCAAGTACGAGAACAAACCAATTTTGCTCGGCTTCTCTGTGTCGGGTTTTGGATTCTTCGCATTAGCTTTATTACCGGTTGGCCTAGAACTTGGTGTCGAGTGTACATATCCAGTCGCTGAGGCGACCAGTGCGGCACTATTATGGCTGTTTGGGTAAGTACGTGATATTATATTTTGCTTTTATGTGGGGTCTTGAAGGGGGGGGGAGTCTAGATTCCATTTCCCAACCCACTTCTTTCTAAATCCCATTTCCGCCTTATACTAAAAGGCAATGCGGAGAAGAAAATCGGGCGGAGAGGTATTTCAGGCTACTTTAAAAGCTTTATGCCTAGCAGTCCTTCCAGCGCTAAAGACTAAAGTTAACTACTTCATTTTGCAGCCAAATAACAATGATTCTCATAATTCTGGTAGCTGGTGCCCTCGGTACGAAAAATAAAGGTAAACAAATGAGCTGCAAATCCGGCAATGATGACATGACCCATGCAACCTACTTCATGGCTGTTTTAACTGTTGTCATAGCGTTGGTATTCATAGTATTATTTAGACCAAAATACCTGAGAATGGAAGCCGAACGAAGGGAGAGATTTATCGAGTCTGCTGATCATAAATTTGATGATAATGATGACAATTAGTAATGCAATTAAGAGATAATTAGTAATTAGAAATAGAACCAACACATTTCCCGTGTTGCTAAACAGGTAGTGAGGGATCGATGTCATTGTTTTTAATTTAACGTACACTAATAAGAAACATTAATTATAATATGATTGATTTTTTAATGAGAAACACCTAAAAATTATTTGTTCACGCCTGCATGTGCCCACAGAAAGGAACGGCTGGTATCGTAATTGTAAAGAGTTTCATAGGCATATTCATACAATATTCATACATAAAAGAATATCAATTCGACCAACCTGTATATATAACAAGCCACAGACTTGACATCCTATGAAAAAGTATTTTATATATGGGTGTAATTGACTGTATAACACTGTTGCTGTGCAATAGATACGTGTCATAAATATATTTCATAATATTGTGGGGTAATTAAATTAATTTGTTTATTGCTGTCGTTATAGTAGATTATAAAAACTATTGATATATAATACAATAAGTTCTAATTTTCCTAAATTAAAATATGATGTCATTAAATGAATTGTAAATTAGTATACCTTTGTTCTTTTATGAGGTTTTTTATGTAAAGGAAAGATGGGCCAATTGTTGAAGGATTTGGTAGATAAAAATGTCGATAGAGCTGTGCAAACTCCGGTTATTTTAGCTCCGGCAGTCAAAACTCCGGCTCCTGCTCCGACAAGGAAATTTTAAGGAAATTTCTTATTTAAAAGTAGAAGCAGGCGAAAGTATTTCAGTGTAATTTCAGAATTTATTTTATTCCTTTTTGAGCTTTCTCCATAGGCGTACGGGACGGGGGGGGGGCAGGGGGGCAGCTGCCCCCCCAAACAGATTACAAAGTCGAAAAGTCGGGCAAATGTTCAACAAAAGTCGGGCAAAAGTCGGGCAAAAAGTAGTCAAAACAAGAAAATCTCGCTGAATAATAACACCAGTTTGTTGGGCAAACAAAGCCAGTTGGGCAATATTCGCTTCTCAGTCGGGCAATATTTGGTTATTATAAAAATAAATGGGACAATTCGGTAAATTTTTCCGGAAAAAATCTTTCCTTCCCGTACGCCTATGGCTTTCTCCTTTACTTATCAAATAATATACGTGCTTCGCGGTGCTTGTTTAAACAATGTTTTGGAGAAAGTAAAACCGCATGGCAGCGTGGTATTTTCGCCCAAAAGACATTGGAGCAAGTAATTAAACTTTATAGTAACTTCAAATCATTCAACTTAATTTTTCCATTACCAAAAGTTCATTGAAATATGAAATAATTTTTTATAATTTTGTCTGCCGGAGTTTTTGCCCGAGTTTTCCAATTCCGGCTCCGGCAAAATATGCCGGAGCTCCGGCTCCGCCGAACAGTTCTAAATTTCGAGTACAAATTTTGTCCAAATTTCCACCTATACGACTAAACACTTCAAAATCCTGATAATTGCAAATTGCAATCTGGCTAGCCCTTGATAACTTTATGCGACCTTTGTGAGTACAGAATTACTCATTGCATGTGTTCAAAATATAATCAATAATATTGTGTTTCAAAGCACCTATAACGAAGTATCACAATGTTTGTACACGCTCAGGTAGGAGCCAGTGAAAGGTTATTGTATTCTTAAGGTGGAGTTACACGAGCTCTACAAAATTGCTGCAACTTGCAACAAAATCTGATTTCAACGCATGTTAAGTGAAAATGTTTACACATAAATTGCAAATCACAAGGCAACATGTGTCGACATTTCTATTTAACATGCGTTGAAATCAGATTTTGTTGCAAGTTGCAGCAATTTTGTTGCTCGTGTAACTCCAGCCTTAATGAGCTAAAGATTATTGCAGCATTATTTCATTACAGATTAACAGTGTTGTTTTAAGAAGACCATAATAATTTTAACTAGAGATATATTAATTTTAGGCTAACACCGCGGGTTTATTTTACGTAAGACACTAATATTTTTAGGATTTTAAAATTTGAAATTAAAAACTATTTATAAATTAATTCTGAAGTATCTGGGATTCCACCCAATTGTAGACAGTCGCAATATTCGCATAAACGCCTGGGTATCCTTTGGCGGCGCAGTCAAAACCAAAGCTCGTCAATCCTGCCAAGTACCACTTGTTATCCTGTTGACACATTAAAGGTCCCCCACTGTCTCCCTGACAGGCATCAACTGTACCTGTAGTGTACCCAGCGCACACCTTATCGAATGAAATCGTTGTAACCCCACTATACAACGATTCACAAGTGGGTTGACCTATAATTGGAACCGCGCCCTCTCGTAGAAATTGTGGGTAGTCTTTAGCATCAGATGTCCTGGTACCCCAACCTGCAATCATGCATTTCGTGCCCGCAGGGAGTTCCGTTTCTTGTAGACAGATGGGCAGTATGTTAGCTGTGTAGTTGGCGGGTGTATGCAGGCGAACCATAGCGATATCAAAGTTGAAAGGCGAGTGATAAACAGGATGAATTAAGATGCTGTCCACTGCAAATTTTTGTTCTTCGGGTTCTTCCGTCAAAATGTCGTGGTCACCTGTGTGAAAATGTTAAAAAATGAGCAGTATAAGTTAAAAGTCGTACTATTCCACTGTACAGTGCATGTCCTGTTGAGTGAGATCTCTCTCTCTATATACACACGTAAAAACGCACAACTTGTAGCAAACCTCTGCAGCAGACTTGTAGCAATACTGTTCTAACAACTTGTCAACAAGATGTGTTCGCACTGCTTGTTCCCAGGTTGTTGACAAGTTGTCAACAAGTTGTCAACAGCTTGTCAACAGCTTGTTGACAACTTGCTACAACCTACAAGGTTGTTGAGCTTTAAGAGACTTGTTACAAGTTGTTCCAACAACTTGTTATCGTCCTGCAATTCCACAACTTGTCGACAAGTTGTGAGTGACAACCTTGTAGCAACTTGATAAAATTACAGCATTGTTATAACTTGTTGACAAGCTTGCTACAAGCCTGTTGCGAACACATCTTGTTGACAAGTTGTGAGATTTTTACGTGTGTATCTGGAGTAAGAATTTCAGTCATTTCGCCGATGAGAAAAGTGAAACCAAGATGGCGGAAATTAACGGCCAAAATCGATCGTACACAGTTCATTTCATACCATATTCCCAGCTAATACACGCTTCCAGAAAGTACGTCACTTTGGCTATATAGAGCCTCGTTTTCGTGATTGAGACGCGGCCTTTAACTGATGTCAGATACACGAAAACGAGGCTCCATAATCTTTGTACTTTTCCGGTAATAGTAATACATGAATCGTATCGCTAATCAAGTTATCAGTTCATAAACCATAATGGCATGATATTAATCTTTCAATCAAAGTCAAAAGAAATTATAGCACACACCTTGCCATCTTGCGTTAACCGGGTTGGGAAGATGGGTGGGGTGAGTGGGGTGGGGGTGGGGTACTAGCCGATAAAACTTACCTAATATGACTGTAAATTGGGTTACATCCTGACTTGGATCAAAGCAATGAGCAGCAGTTAATACCCACTCATTATTAATTAAAGCACCACCACACCAGATACGTTCTTTCTTTTCGGAATAAAATATGGCCGCCATCCAAGGCCATGAACCTTTATCAGCTGCATTACCACCGACAATTTTTGAGTCTAGTTGTGAGAAGACCTCTCGTAGACCACAAGGACGATATGCATCTAGAAATTAAGTAGACATGTTGGAATTTTTTTTTAAATTGTACTTCTCCGGTAATAGTACGTAATACATGAAGAAATTGACACAAAGGAAATCAGGAACATGAAGGAGCTTGTGTATAAATATATCGGGTCTGGGCATAATACTAATCATTTATTATTTCAAATATCGTTCATGTGAAGTATGTCAAGATACGAAGATGGGGAACCTACCGTCACATATTCCTTCTGTATTTGGATTACATTTACACGAGAAACCTCCAATTGTGTTCGTACACGTGGCATTCACGTGACATGGATTGGTAGCACATTCATCGAGATCTGAAATTTACATGTCATTTGTAAATAAGTGGAAGAAAAATGTACTCAAAATGATGTGAAAATGTGAATACATTGACCTGAATTGAAAAAAGTAAATATGGGTGGATATAATACTAAACAACGGTCAGTATTTTTTTTGGAGGCGGGTTTACCAGTAATCTCTCGATCGCTTACCATTTTTTACCATCTTTTACCATGCATCATTATCCCTCATTGTACTAACCTGTACACAGTGTTCCATTTCCAGTATATCCTTTGTTACATTTGCACTGATAAGAGCCAATCGTATTTGTACATGTGGCGTTTACATCACATGGCTTATCCAAGCATTCATCGGTATCTAAACAATATAGGATATTATTTTACAATTGTCCTTTCCATGGCAGAAAGGGATGGCCCTTTACTGACCTCCAGGTTGAAAAGCTTAGAACTGATTGAGTTTTTTAGTTTGAAATGGCATGAATAAAGTTAGTTTAGTTCAGTTTCCGTTTCCCGTTGGATTTTTTGTGAGAATGTTGTGAATACAAAACTTTGAACATTTAAAAACAAATGTTTTAAACATTACTCAAGTCAGTTACAAAGCATTTCAGGCTTCCATTCTAGTTTCTCTGACAACATGTGTAAGACGTAACCGCGTATATATACTATAGATCCATTGAACTATGTAGGTCTCTTACCAGGTGCAGCTCCAATTGGATAGACAAAGCAAGGTGATTGCTCAACGATGAGGTCATCGATAGCTATATCACCTTTCTGATCGTTACCACTCACAGCTTCAAATATTATCTAAAAACAAAAGAACCAAAATCGATAGTAAACATGTCTATCCAGTGAAACAATGTCTGTAGGCCTACAGTTTAGAAAACTGGTAGAATTTTATATTCGTGGTCTTCCTGGATGTATGCCCAGAAAATACCTTGTGTAGTTCGAATAGGAATTTGAACTATAGACACATACGTACATTTCGATTTGTACAGACACTCGAGAAACAAAGTAGTTATTAAGCTTGAACCCATAACGATCAGATTGCTAGCCTGACGCTCTGTCATTGCAAATTGATCATTCCAGAAAACGTCTACACCTTAATAAGAAGATGTTTCCTCCTACTTATCGCGTTTGAGTGATCCTCACCTCAGAAGGTTTGCCAAAGTTTAACGGGACACTTGCTTCGACCCACTTGTCTTTTCTATGTTCAGCCAAGTTCCATAGTCGTGCAATATTTTTTGTTCCACTTTCCCTGATGTTTACATTCAGTTGTCCAATGTCAGTTCCCAACATGTAATAGTGAAACCGTAGACATTCGCTCTGTTTAGGCAGCAATGTGGGTGATACTAACCAAGCTTTGTCCCCTGGGTTGCGGCCTGTTGTTTCAATATACATGTATACTCCTGTACAGAAAATAAGGAAGATTTAGAATACATCTTATACACCTTTCATGTGTATGTAAATACACACCGTTCAGGTAGTTAGTTGTTTCCCTATCAGTCAGCAGCTTTCATCTTGAAGCATTTTAAAACCTGATCTTTGCACTTCAGACAATTCCCATTATAGACTAATTTTAAAACAAGGTAAGGAGATGCAAATAAATCACAACAACTAGAAAGAGCATACTAAAATTAGTAAAACTGCAAAGTTTGGTTGCGAAATGTTGTAAAATGAGCGTAATATAGCTTTGCAAAGTTTGCAAGTGTTGTATACTTTTGTATTGCGTGCGGAAATTCCTACCACATTCCTACCACATCTGGGCAGAAAATGGTACGTAGCCGATTTCCGCACGCAATACAAAAGTCAACTGGCTATATTTTCCGCATTTTACAACACTTCGCAACCAAACTTTGCAATTTTACTAATTTTAGCATGCTCTTTCTAGCTGTGGTGATTTGTTTGCATCTCCTTGCCTAGTTTTAAAATTAGTCTATAACAGGAATTGTCTATTAATTGATGGGTGCTTTCCATTAACACGGCCAGACCACGGTCAAAACGGTCAAATTGTTTTATGGAACACAAAACGTTAGGCCTCGGACCTATCTGACCGGAAAATTTAGATAAAATTAGAATGAGGTCCATTTTCGCTAGATATTTGAGAAACATAGACCAGATCTTTCCATTGATACAGTCATACAGAGACAAAATGGAAAGCGCCCCAAGAACACCGAGCAAAACGGACCTTACCATAACGTGACTTTTTTGTGTTGTCTGACCCTGGTCCGGTTAACAAGGTTGGTGTGCTTCCGCGTTGTCGTTGCCACACAAAGTTGTCATCTTGCTTTTCATTTCGCCAACTGCACGTGTTGAGTTCAAAATCACACGAAACTAGAGAGTAATAAAGGAAAATGTAGACAATTTTTTCTGACTCTTTTATTGCTACTACTACTACATGCGTGAAGCTCTCTGGCTCATTAAAGAGAAAAAAATAGAAAACTGTAGCAATTGAGAAAGCAGTTTTACTAATTATGCGGTTAAATCCGGTTTCATTACACATGCCAAAATTACCTATTCCACCCATTCCTGCTAGAATTAGCCAAGTAAGGTAGAATCACTTGTCATCACGTCACTGCTAGTCACATGAGATGCAGCTGCGTAAATAATTGTCGGGCATAGTGATATAACCTGATAATCTGGGGCAGAATACGTGCTTTAGTATTCTTTCCACCAGGGGCCGGTTGTATAAAACTCTTAATCACTTTTTTAATCACTATTTTGTAGTTAAATAGTGATTAACTCTCAAATAGGCGCTTCTTATTGGATGACGTTTGCACTTAACCATAGTTAACTTTAATCACTTTTTTATACAACCGGTCCCAGATATGATCGTATAGAGGTCAGTGACACCTACCTTTAGGCCGACACTTCACACCGACATCCCGGTCATGGCCACACTTGACATTCCCCCAGCCGCTGTGATGACACTCCTTAAGAAATGTCTCAATTACCCCTGTGCATTGCATATTATCCAACCATACTCGGCCTTTCCCATCTTGTACATCGCTACCCATGAGTGCTTTCTCCGCGCCAGCAAATCCCATCTCGATACACGCAATGTTGGCGTCATCAATATCCCAACCATTATCACAAATTGTCCCCCATTGGCCATCAAAGTATATCTCTATCCTGCCTTCGTCTGGTCTGTCTGAACCAGCTAGACGAAGAGCTATATAAATAACAGATAGTTTGTAAGGTCTGCGAAATACTGTTTCATGCATTTTGGACACATTTTGTGATAATCTGAAAGTCACAGCAACGCCTTTGACCACAATGGTTCATTATGGTTGTTGGCGGTAGTGACTCATAAATTACTGTATTAATTGGTTGGTTTGTAAATTGGTTAATACTCGGTTATTTAGTTACTTTTACTTAATACTCGAGTTCTATACACTACAATAACTTAATTAATAGTGCTCTTACTTGATGGAACACATTCGACCGCTATGTCATGTTGGTGCGTGCATAATCTGTTCGGATTTCCCCAGCCTGGATGCTGGCAGTCTGACAGCCTTGTTTCAGAACCATTACATTGAACATTCGAAAGCCAGATCTTGCTAAAACCTATGTCAAATGATAAGCCCGCAAGGTACGGATAACCCACGTCACGACAGGCCACTTGCGCGTCGTTGGTGTCCCAGCCCACCGCGCAGATTGTACCCCATTCTCCATTGTGAAAGACTTCCACTCTGCCTGAGTATGGGTGCGCGCCAATTATACGAGTTTCTAAAAAAATCAATTTGAAATTTGAACCCTAAGCAAACTAGGAAACATTGTCGAGGAACGATCTGAAAATCTTCAAGTTTCCTTCAATGTTTTCCCTTCAATCACTGTTGTGGAAACTAAGTTTCCCAACACGTTTAGGGGTTGTTGCGAAAACAATATTGTTTCACATGTTTATTTCCACCTTCGAAAAACATGGGTAGGAAACAATGTTTTCGTAACAATGCTCTCTTGGTGGCTGCTGACTTTAGCTTTCATAGCATATTAATTTTAAGACTGCTTTCCATTCGCATGTTATCATCACGCATGTATCGTACAGATAAACGTAATCCAATTCAACTGATTATGATGCTTCCGGAACAACCACACGAATGAATGTGTATTGGAAGTGTGTACTGGAAGTGTGTATTGGAAAGCAGTATTAAAATAATCAGAGTTTAAACATACCTCTACAAGCACCTGGCTGAAGACAAGTACAGTTATAAGATCCAGGCGTGTTCTGACATTCATTGTTTGTAGGGCATGGTTCGAAAAAACATTCATTAAAATCTGAAATGATAAAATAAACAAATATATAGAGAACATCTGCAAGATACCAGACGAATTCGGAACCGCAAAACGGTTCGGAATTGGTTAACATGGTAGGCAATAGATTCATTGATGGATTTGTCAATCGATCGCTTGATTCATCGATTCATATCGACAATACCTACCATCACACTGATATCCATTTCCGTTAAATCCTTTGTTACATGTACAAGAAACATCTTGCGTGGTATCGGTACACGTTGCATGTTCATGACAAGGGTTATTGTGGTCACATGAAAATGGTAGCTGAGCTGTAAAAAAAGTTTAAAATCATTACATGGATCCATTTAATGAGTTGAGACATTTTCCTGTTAGTGTTCCCCACCCCCAACAGTTTCTCATACCCTCCCCCATTCCCGACGAGGCCTCGCCACTGAGTCCGCGGACCATTGTAATATGGTGACCGAAGGGACAGGGCAAAATATCCATATTGAGAGACGTCTGTTTTGTAGAGGTTTTGTAAAGAAGATAGTATTATCTCGGAATATTGGAAACGCCTGTATTGCGATAAATATTATTAAACGTGGTGCTAGGATATTTGATATGCAGCTATTTTATGTGTTATATGCGATTTCGTTGGACAAATACTGGTGAGAATGTTGACGAATTTTTGAAAGCCCAAAAACACGCTTAGATATACAACACCACACCAATGGAAGACTACGAAACACCACACTTACTAGTAGTCATTACGGCGGATGAGGTTACCATATATTGCATAGATGATGTCACTGATGAAGGAGCCAATGAGGAACCAGTATTTACAGTTGAAAGCGTAGATGCTTGGACAACAGTCGATGTTACTTTATCTAGCCCTATTGTGACAGATTGCATGGAAGATTGCAGTGATGTCGTGGAAATCTGTGCAAAACTAGGAGATATAGTTTGTGGAAAAATTCTTGTGCTAGACAATTGATTATTTATGCTGGTCGTAGGCGCTATAGATTGCTTTATTTCCGATGAAGAGTTGAAAAGCTGCGTTGTAATTGGAGCGCGAACTTTTAGAGTTCCGTTGGCGTAATAATTCAATCCTGATATATGATGGAACTCCAGAGTACCGAAGGCGTGGAAGAAAACCAGAGGACTTGGAAGGACTTGTGGATCTGTGGTGACTACGCTGGATACTGGTGGATATGTGTTGATACTGGAGGAAGATGAGCGCTTTTCGTTGAATTTTAGGTTGAGTACAGAAGACGAGGATTCAAGGGTGTGTCTGGGGGTATTTGGATACAATAGAGGCGTGCTAGTGGGTTTATTGTGGTTTGAGGGAACGATACTAGGGCGTATCGTCGACGTTTCCAGTGATGCATAGCGAGACGGCGTGCTGACTGAAGAAACATCTGCAAAATGAATAAACGATAAGATGTTATATGAAATATTCATCTCAGACAAAATTTACCAACTCTCAGCTTGTCTTTGAGATCTGTATGTTAGGTCCAATTGGTAGAACGTCAGGCTAGCGTTCTGAATGTTATAGACCGTTACGGGAACCAGGCCTTTATGAGGAGCAAGCCCTAACGAGAGCTTGTAAAGCCGGGCATACAAACGGAGATTGCAAATACCGCACGGCAATCATGCGAGGACTTATAGATATATAGATATAGCTAGTATAGATCTAATATAGATATAGCTAGCTAGCTTAATAATCTTAATTTATATTAAACGTGGTGGTAGTATTCTACATTAAGCTGCGGTGATTTTGGTCGATGACAAATATTAAAACACTTTGAGGGAACTCAGGGAAGATCCTTCGCCTGCAATTTAATAGCCAGCCATCTAAGTGTTTGTGAGTTCCAAACGAAAATCTTCACATGAAACATTGGTTGAGTGTTTTTAATCTTTTGCAACTAGTGCGGATAAAAAAATCAACGCAACATTAGGTTATCAGGACTAGCATACCTGATTTAAAAGGCCAACCAATACGCAAACGCCATTGTTCGACTTGAAATCGACCAGTAAACGACGTAATTGGACCATAGTTCTTGCTAACGTGCTGAAGAAGCTTGATTGTATCCCGCCCTTTACCGTAAAAATTGTTTTGATTTTCTGAGACATCAGAAACTTTTAAAATCTCTTTAACATTTCCTCTTGACCAAACCACTGTGGCCAAAGATGCAGTTTTATATACCTAAAGAAAGTAACAGAAATGGCTCTTATTTATTTATTTATTATGGTAGTGATGCGTTGAATCGCGTAATTTAACTACGATTAAGAATCTATTTGTAACTCTGTCGTTTGTAATTTTAGCCCTATAGGCAAACTAGGAAACTTTTTCTTAGGCATGTTTCGCAAAGGGGAACAAACCATCCCCAACTAAAATTTACACTAGGAAAACAAAATATATTTCTGAATTTGTTGGAAACCTTTTTGTTTCCTGGGAGGCAAAATTTGTTTCAACAACAACGTTTTCAAGGGTGGGCAAATTTATGGAGAAATATTTGTTGAAACATTTTCCGCGTTTCTACTTAGTCCTCTTCTCTGTATTTTATGAGAACCTGAAAGAACGCGAACACGTTTATGAAAGAATGGTTAACTTAAAATCACGTAGGTCGCTTTATTCACAGTTAAATTAACTGTGCTTTATTTCAAGTGCTCTCTGCGAGTCAACGTTGTTAACAAGCCAACTTTGTCAACAAGCCAACGTTGTCAACAAGCCAATAATAATACGTGATGAGTCATCTATTTTTCCGCCGCATTTCATTGATTTCGAGTCAATTACAGAATCATCATTAGAGATCAGAAAAACGATTTTATTTTATAATGATTATAAGAGAATTAATAGAAAAAGTATAACAGGAAACATTTTTTATTGAGTCAATCAGACTAACCGAGTTATTTTCTGAGAGTCAACTTTACAATCTCGACAATGAACTCATGAGTTAAATCCATTTTCCTTCGGTTTGACACTTACCAAAACAACTGTCTGTATTTCCATACCGTCTTCCATATCTAAGTACCAGGCCACCGGCCGTGTAGATGCTAACACAAGCACCACTTTCCTCCCAATTTCTCCCTTATTAACCACCTCAATCCTTGAGGTCTCTGGGACGTCACTGCAGCATGATAGCGCCTGGTGCGAGCCCAATACGTGGACTTCGTAGTTTGGATTCGTATTACCATTGCAGTGATAAGTCTCAAAGTCTTGACTACAGATGTTTGCGGAGGAGATCTCCGTGCACACACTTGTTGGGTGTCCCTGTGTCGTGGGACCATGTTGAATGGCACAATTCGATACGTTAGCTAAAACATAATGTATTGCAGTCATTTATTTTAATTCTACTAATATATGCCAGCAACAGCTAGTTTTTACATGCTATTAGTTACTTTGTATTCCATCGAATATGGTCGCTAACGTTTGTGACGACATGGTAGTGCTTTTGTCGTAAAATCCACAAGTGTGTGTATGTCGGCAATTGACGTTCGAAAAGAGAGAGGTCATTTAATTTGGACACTGTATGGTATGGTATGGTATGGTATGGTATGGTATGGTATGGTATGGTATGGTATGGTATGGTATGGTATGGTATGGAATGATATGGTATGGTATGGAATGGTATGGTATGATATGGTATGGTATGGAATGGTATGGTATGGTATGGTATGGTATGGTATGGTATGGAATGGTATGGTATGGTATGGTATGGTATGTTTGGTATGATATGATACGATATGGTATGGTATGTTTGGTATGATATGATATGATACGATATGGTATAGTATGCTATGGTATATTAGTTTCATTAACAAAAGTTGGTTTCCATGATAGGCGAATAAAATTCTTGCAAATTAGTAGAAGAAAGATTTCAATAGAACAATCAGTTAGTTTACAGTGTGCTTGTGCTTGACTGCTTGACTGACAAAAATAATTATTTAATTATTACTCACGAAGACAATTCGTTTGGACGAAATATCCGGAACATTTACAGAAACCTCCCTCGCATCTTGACTTTAAAAGAGGATCGTACATTCCATCGCAGTAGAATCCATACAGGCATTCTGAAAATGAAGAAAACGAATTTTGGTGATTTCCACAATCAATGTTCTTGTAGCTAACTAGAGTATCATTTGCTCGATTTATAGATGTCCTGGTCGAATTTGGCAAAGATATGATACTAAGGCCTACTTTGGGGGCGACGTTGGGCGACATTGGCCCCCAAATTAAGTAAGCCTATACTATCTTCGTTAATTCTTTGTTTTGATGGATGATCCGTCTATCGATCTATCTGATAGGTTTACACTTCGTTCTAGTAGACTGACATTAATTAAAGATCGACTAGATATTTTAATGATTTGAACCTTCCCAAATGTAGGCACTATAGCTAGGCTCCCTTCTGAGCCCTTTCTGAATTTCTGGGGAGCAATAAGTAAAGTACGTATGTATGCCTCATGTGTACCGCAAACACGACATATAAGGAAACGATATACTGTAGTACACTATATATATACCAGTATATACATATTCTATCCTAATTAGTTCAAGAGGTATGATGTGGCTTACTGCAGCTGATTAAATGTCTCCATATGCGAGTCCATATGATCCATCTTATGCATTTTATTTACAATGTCAAAGAGAAGAAATAACAAACTTTGATTTGGAATAGAATGTTCAAAATTATTGGTCCCAACCTGATGACCCTAATTTGTCAATGTAAGTTCAAACTTATCGTGAATAACATCTAAATAACAGGTCAATTTGTGTTTCCCAATTAAATAATCAAATCTGAATAAAAAAATATTTTTCATGCAGTCAAAATACTGCATTTGATATATGCTCAATAGCTTTAAAATTTAATTAACAACACTTGGCTTTACTGCTCACTGCTTACGGTACTTGTATCGGCCACGCGGCTGACCAGTTATTTCCTGCCATCTATTCTTCAGGAATAGCGATGGAAAATTTTGAATTGAAAAATGCAACATTGTCATTGAAACATTTGTACCTTAGGGCTTAGGCTGAGTTACAATCATGATATCTTCGATAATATCGGCAATCCTACCTTCGTTATATGTGTCAACACTGCCGGCGAACACGCTCACAATCCAACATAATGCCAAACCAATCATACAACCTTTTTGAGCTTTACTCATTTTGGGCCAAAATATCGGCTCCTTAAAACGCCAGTACACTTTTACAGTGTTGATAAGTTATGAGTACTTGACGACCGGTGAGACAATTGTGAATAGAATTGTGAAAAGATTGTCGTGGGTTTTTCCGTTTTCAAGTGCATAATTCCATAAATTTGTCACGGTCAGGTTATTTCCCACCCAATAGCTCTTTATAAGCATTCAAACTAAACTGACCACATCTTTGTTGCTAGATTTATCTTAGGCCAGGACAAGTGGTTAGCCTAATGGCTAATATGAAGTTGAAAAGTTCAAATGGGGACAGTATCTCAGTATCAGTGCCTATAAATTTTTGATGACACAGTCAAAATAATATTGGGTGAGTGGCAACAGTGTTACTTACGTATGCAGCATGAATAAATTTCGTGGGTGGTTTAAATGATGAGTAATGGCAATTTATAATCTAAATATGGAATGAATAATATTTTGAATGAGTAAACACAGCCATTCAAAATCGTCACTAACTACCAGACCAGCCAACAAAGTTGTCAGCAGTGTAGGTTGTGTTCAAACTTAATTAAGATGGGCAGGAAATTGTGGGACGATATAGGACAAACATGAACATAATCGTGAAGTATCTCAGGAATCCGGCAGAACAGTAAGAAAGAGTTTAATTGCTTCTTTGTGACTATTTGTATCGAACAGGCATTTTCATTAGCCACTCCTCAATTTTCACACGGGGAATTTTCTTTGTCTTGAGAATTGTTGGTGCAGAAGCTGTATACACAAGGTGGAAACAGTTGGTACTCGCCAGCATGAAAGTAGACAGATCTGCTAGGGTTGATCTTTCGAAATTGGCCGTTGATTTGTGCAATGCAAATTTAATTCAGTATTTATAGCTTAAAAATTTCCCGATACTTATTGTGGGGTCCATTTTCCGCGTAGTGCAACGGCTTTTCAGACATTTGTACAGAAGTTGAACATCATTATTATCTGGGCTTCGTTCAACCGATGACAGGTCGACAACGACCTTTCAATCCTAAGGACTTCTCTCGAATCTTCGCAATCATCTGCTTATTTTCAGGCTCTGAACCAGTATCAGTAAATGATCATGGCCATACCGCGGCCAACACTGATATTCGAATCTCATCATTCTCATGTCTCTCGCTAGGGATAGCATTACTGGCGAGGAACTAACTTCTGGCACCCCCCCCCCCCCTGGGTGTCTCATGGAATGTTGTAAAACTGAATTGTGTATCAAGGTTTTTTTTAGAAACCTTCTTTCACTTCTTGTGAGTGCGTTCACACGAACACGAGGGAAGTCGGGACCAGACAGACGGTTCCTTCCGGTTCCAATTGACCTTAGAAGTCTTTATACGTCACGTACTCTCGTCACTGTTAGGCATTTGACTCAAATTTAGATGGTTTGAAAATTACCTGACGTAAGCACTTCTTAAGCCTGTTTTCCACTAGGCGGAATAATTCCGCTCCGCGCGCAAAATTCCGCCTAGTGGAAAACCGGCTTTAGGGGAAAGAGTTATTGACTATTGTTCCTACGTATTTCCCAACCCTTTGTGAACGAATCTAGTCAGTATGCAAGAATAGAACAGCACAAAGGTATTTAGGCATTAGAATTGTCTAGATGGGTGAATACCTTTTATACATAATTCTAATGCTTAGTTGATACCTTTGTTCTATTCTATGCTCTGGTAAGCAAGAACAATGGTAACTAGGCCCATGGATAATGCAAATTTGTTAATTGGGTGGCGACAGGGTAAACACTAAAACACACGTTAGCTGATTCTGTCAATTAGAATTTCATCATCGAAGATAAATAGAAATAATGGATGTGAGCAATTAAAATGTATGTAAACCTGAAGAACTGAGATTTTAATTGTAAGAAGTGGCATTGCAGATTTGCAGATCTGACGTGTTGAACCTAATCACCTATGCTCTTGACACTGGTCAAGAGTCGAAAGTTGTAAACGTTTTTCATTTCTTGATGTTTGTGAATTGTGACATACATATGGACTCAAGCGGGAAGAAGTGAAAGTTCGTCGAGCGGGCGAGTAAATTGGGGAAACAAGATTGAAATGGTGGGCATTAGCAGAAGAGAGAACACGCCATGACACAAGTCTACGCAACGATGATTGTAGGTCGGAAAATTTGCAAAGAGATAACTGACAAAAAAGATTTGGCGATTTTGTAGGAACTCCTTTGCGCATTATATGGTTCATTAAATGAAGTTGCCCACAAACCGCATCCGCTGTCGTGACTTCTGCTGGCTCTTATTTGAATTTGGGACCACTTTTGAACACTTTTTGTATTAAATTTTTATTGTAAACAAATAATTTTACATATTTGGAGGGATAGTTTGTTTACTTTTGTGACAGAACAATGTTTTTGAACCTATTGTACAATAAATGTATCATTCATTGTAGCCTGGTAATAAAAGTAAGGCGTTTTTAGAACCTAAAACGTAATGGCAACCGGTGGAGCAAACAGGACAAGAAATCCTGGCAGTCCTTCGTCCACACCAAATTCAAAAAGAAGTCCACAATTATCTTTGAAAGAAAGCAGTCCATGTCGGCCTTCAGAAAGATTAAATCCCAAAACTATTGACCCAGTTAGTGTTGTGTATTTTATGTAAATTTGTATGGATGTTTCAATATAAAATGGCTCACGTTGGCATTATAAATATATTATGAATGATCACGATTGAAAATTATTAAATATATTTATTTACAGTTCAAGAACAATGTTGGAAAACAATCCACATTTGCAGCAGTGTATAGCAATGGTGGAGTTCCATGCAGGTAGCGAACTAAGCCAAGCCTTAACAGTAAATATCGAGATTTTTTGGTATAAAAAAATGATAGAACTAACAGTTGAATGATTTTGGTAGATGAAACTTCCTAGCAGAAGATTATATAATCTTCTGCTCAAAATTCAACTGTTTGTTCTATCGAGCCAGATGGCCAAAAATCTTGATATTTATGTCTCAATCAATTCCATGGGTGCCCAACACCCCCCGGGCGTTTGTCGGGCTTTTGTCATTTTGGCGAAAAAACGTTGCAAATGCCCCAGTATGGGGTCCAAATAATGCAACAAAATCCCCACCCTTGGGGACTTACATTGACGCAAATGTCCCACCCTTGGGGGACAAAATATAAGTTTTCTGAGGATTTCTGATCCAAAAAATTGAATCCAAGCTCTATCACCTATCAATATATCTGTATTTAAAATCGATTCCACAGCCAATATCAAACTGCAGAAGTAAGTCAATGTATCAACAGGATGGACAAGAAAAAAGTCTTGTGTATGCCGGTCCGCCATGATTAATTTGCGATACGCATGCTCGTGTAAACATGCGTACTAAAGTACGGCTAAATGGCGAAACAAGCGATAAATATTCGACTTTTTAGCCTCGAGCAAATTCCCCACCCCGGGGCTAACCTGCAGAAAGCAAATGCCCGACCCTGGGAACAAGTACAGTTGAGAATGCCCGAAAAACGGCCGGGGGGGGATGGGCAACCATGGAATTGATTGGGG